ATCAACTCAGGATTTATAAAGATCTGCCACTAAACTGCATCTTAAGCTTCGCCAATGGTTTTACCATTCTACCTAAACCTGAATGGATCCCCTCTAAAACGCCAGTATAACCTAACCTAAACTAATTGTATAACTTAAAAAAATAAGATTTGTCGTGATTCTATTTCAAGATCAATTAATTAACCTAACATTATCTTTTGGTTCAACATAGTAGATTTTATTCGACTATATAAAAGCCTTATGAAAGATGTGTAATCCTTTTTTGTCATAAGCAGAATATATAAAAGCATATAAATATGACAAAAGTTTCAATATGTATTTCATAGAATCTGTTGCATATCACAGGATATAATATATATCCTGGATATATATATATGATTTAAAAAAAAAAATTAAAAATAGTTCTATACCGAAAAGCTACCGCTAGTGTAAAAAAAGGTCACTACCAAACAATTGATATTTAATAAAGTGAACACTCGTTCAATTAGACATTCGTTAAATTAAACATTCGTTAAATTTAACATTCGTTAAATTATTCATTCGTTAAATTTGATATTTGTTTTATTCTATTTTTACTGTAAGTTTTCTTTTATTCCATATATCATACCCTATGGATTCTTTAACCGTAAAAGCGATGCAAGTGATATATATGTTACACAATTTTAATATAAAGCGACCCGATATAGCCTGTAAGATTCTTATTCAGAGTCAATATTTAGGGCTGTCAATATACAAAACAAAAAAAAAAATAATCAAACCCTATTTCCCTTAAATCACTGTATTGATATGAGATATTTTTACTGCATAATTACTATATAGAGAAACTGAGGTTTAATATTTAAAGTTGTTGCTATAGCAAAAAATTTTTACATGTAAATTATTTGCAAAATTTTTGAATTAATCTGGATGATACAATATAATTTCAATATTAAAGAACATAACTATAACAATTTGATTTAGGATCATTTTGATTTAGGATTTAGGATAGTGGCTTCCACTAAAGTTAATACATTTTCTATAGACTTTATATGATGCATCAGGTGATATATAGTTAAAACTCTCACTCTAGAGCTCTAATATAAAATGATGCCAAAACAGAGATTGATCTGTTTATTACTAATCATATATCACTTTTATAATGTCGACTAATTTATCAGATATTCAAATAAATTTTTAAATTGGTTATGTATGTTTGAAGTTTCATCACACAAATTGTCTTTTAAAATAAAAATACTGGCGATTTTATTTGAAGAGCATTATTTCAAGTGAACTCCAATTATCACACTACAGGAACTAGATTATCAGTCAAAGGACATTACAAAACATTATTGTAACAAAAATTCTGAATGGAAAGCTTCAAGGAGTTTACGTTCTGATATCATTATTCACATAACTGGCTTAGAATATAAACCAATTCAATCGATTTCTTAGAGTATGCTATGTATATTGTTGTTTCGTAAATCTCAAAATTTCAGTATCAACGTAGCAAAGTAAGCAGGGTTCCACCCGTTAAAAATGAATAATAAAACAAGTAGGACAGTTGGAGAAAAGAGTAAATAACATTAATTTTTAAATGCTTCAACATATTTACAATAAATTTATAAAAATCAAAAATCATTCTTTGATATAATACTGATATTAATATCGGAGATCTAAATTGCTTATTATAAATAAATAAAAATAATAACATATAAAATACATTATTATTTTTGAAATTTGTTACTTGTATAAATTCTACAATAGCCGTAATTTTTTCTTTCATAGTTGCAAAAGAACAACATAAACTCTCGTTGAAACAAATTGGTATCAGTTTTTAAATATGTTAAATTCTTATGATTCTTTTGACATATGTTTTTTGTTGCGTTGTGACCAATACGAAATATGAAAATTGTGAACACTTAATATTAATTAATTAAAATAAAAGAAAACAAAATGAATAATAGAAGGGCAATGGTTAGCATTTTTATTTTACATATTTAAATTGCGGCTGCAGTACTGGGAAGGTCTCCCAGGACTTAGACAAAGTAAAGCACTGATATCACCGTACTCCTTCAAAGACATCCTTAAATTCTCAAAATGTAATTTAAGGCTGCTAACGTGTTTCTTTGCAGGTTATTATGGACTAAAATACCACCTTCATAAACTACAGCTATCTGCTAATTCGGAATGCAGATTATGCCTCGAAGATGAGGAAACTACCATGCATATTCTTTGTGAATGCTCAGCTTTAATAACGCTCAGAAAAAATTTGTTTTAAATGGAACTTCTGTCATCTGAACAGATTAAGAACTATTCTCTAGATTTAGTTCTAGACTTTATTCACAAAGCTTTAAAGGGCTTTGAGTAATCAATAGTGAAAATGGTACAATAGGACTCTTCTGCCCGCAGTAACGGCTGTTGGACAATTTCACGCTTAAACTTTTAATAATAATAAATACATATTTAAATTAATTCCTTTATTTATGTATTTAAAGTTAATAACAAATGAAATGCGCATATGATTTTAACGGATGACTGGAATTTTACAACATATTTCCAGTGAACATTCATAATAGACTGATTTTTGAATTTGGCTTCACTGAAACTTAAGATTTAAAATTTTTTGCGAGTAAAACCTAACTCTGAAGATTTTAATAGCATTGTTGTTACTTCATATGTTTTCTTTCGTAAATTGGGAATATTTTTTTGCTACACTGAAAGAAAACTTTACGGCTAATATTAATGATCAATAAAATTTTAAAGAAAAACTGATACTACTTGTCTACGACCCAGAAGTGCCATCCACCAACTAAGTTTCAGTCAACGTTCACAACGACAATAGGTAGGCGTTTTTGGTGGTTAGCAAGTGTGGTAAAAAATGCATGCTGGCCTATATTCGCTAAGCGAGACATTGGCAGCACTGTTGCAATCTGTCAAGTGTTATGTTTTGGCAAATAGCACATCTTGCATATGTGTACATAATATGTATAAAAATAAATAAGTAATGTAAATTGAAAATTAAAATGAATACAGAACTAGGAGGAATTTTTTCTTTTTTACCAATTTTCAGATTTATGAAATTTTTGAATTTTGTTTAAATTTGACATATAATTTTGTATGATTTTTGACATACCATATGATTGCAATATTCGTTGGAATTGCCAATGAAGGTTCACAATAGTTGGCTAATTATGTTGGTAACACTGTGGCTAGTATACAACTACTGGCCTAGATAGAGAAAATAGTGTTGTTGTTTTGCGTACATTTCGGCTAGTATAGGCCAGAAACTTGTTGTTTTTTGCCATACTTGCGAGCCACCGAAAACGCTTGATAGTATATGAATAGTAACTAATATTAAAATCGAGTATAATTTTTCTGTTTTCAAAAATAAATTAAATTTTTTCGTATTCAATTATAATTGCAAATTATATTTAAAAATTATATAAAATTTCATATAGTTTTTTATTCCAAAATCAAATCTTCAAAGAAACAAAAAACGAGGAATGTTTTGCTATGACATACAACCATTATAAAATAATCTTGTTTATCATATTTTTGAAATATTTAAATAATAAAATAATTTAAGAGATAATTACTATTGGTGTATATTAGTTTGTAACTATTTTGCGAATAATTTTTTTTCTAATGTTTTCTATATACAATACAAATAATTTTTCTTTGAGGATAAAATATTTTAAAAATATCGCAGCTAATTTTGAGCTTTATTTTATATATATTTTATTTATTAAATTTATATAAATGAATTTTTCTAAAATTTTCAATATTCAATATTTAAAATAATTAAATTTATATTTTACTAAATAATCAAATTTATTAATTTTGCGATATATGCGAGTAAATATATAAAAATTGTAACTTTTTTGTGTATTGAAATTTATTAGCAATATCTTTCTAATGAGATTTTATCTAAGCATGCATCAATTAAATGAAAACTCCTATTTATTGCAGTGAACTAAAAATGCTTGAAAAATGCTGTTTAAGATACATGGCTACTTACATAATTGCTCTGTTTGGCCTATGTTTTTATATATATATATTTTTGATTTTCACTGATCATATTTGATTTAGATGTAACAGATGTAACAGATTATTTATTACTTAACTGGAATTTTATTTTTAATTTTACTCTTATTGATTTTGTGACACTGATTATATTCCATCACAAGTTTGTTGCAAAATAATTTGTGACATTTAATAGGTGCAGCTATTGTTTCAACTTTTTACGAGTATGTTCACAACCGTGTTTATTAAATATCCGTTTTCCGAACTTTATATCAATATTCAGATTATTAGAGATTTCACTCCTAGTTTCTGGTTTATGTGGTCCTTTTTCGCGAACATTGCCAAACAAGAAAGGAAAACAATTTAAATGATAAGAGAAATTTCCAAACTATATATTCGACTTAAAGTTGCATTAAAATTTATTGCTGTTGAGTATCACCACCATTTCCTAACCCAGCTTTCGACTCAGGCGGCACCTGTTCATAATACATGATTTTATTAATTTAATTTTAAAACTAAAAAGAATATAAATATATGTATTAATAACTTTAATTTCAACAGTTTTACTTCATCGTAGTTAAACTAAATGCAACTAGCTAACATAAGTAAGTAGGGATTCATAAAGGTATGATACCTCTATTAAAATTTATATATTAATAATTTAAATACCGGCATACGCACAAACTACAATAATGAAATAAATATTTTTAAAAAAAGCATAAGCTTCAAATAAATAAAGTAATATATATTAATAAAAAATACATATATTTATGTGCTTTGTAACAGCTTTATTTTAATTGAATACCACCGAAACACCAAAACTGAAGCAACATCATTAAACAAAATAACAACATCATTAATAACAACTCTGTCGATATTTATTTTTTTTATTTCTAAGTAAAGTTAACACTAAAATAAATTTTAAAATTAACTTAGATTAAGGAACTGAAGTACTAAGTACTTCCTATTCCCTATTTCCTCCGATAAATATTGTAGTGAACTCTAAATAGTTGAGTACTTTCAATTTGCCTTTCATTAAACATTTTTTAATAAATTAAAATTATTATTTTAAAAAATATTTTTAAATTTAAGTATGCTAAAATAACTTTTACAAACTCTAATCTCTAATATAATAGTCTGTTGCAATTTTTTATCAAAATACTCAAACGGCGTCCTACAAAGTATAGTTATAAAAAAAATAATGCAAAATAAAAAAATTAAGTTTTTGGTAATATAGACCGAGTACATACTGCCAGCCAAATTGCAGTTCCATTAGGACTTTCGCGTAACAAACAGACACTTCGACAACTAATTAAGAAACTGTGACTGCCGAGCTTGTTATAACAGTAGAAGCAGATTTTTAGAAAAATACTTTCTGAACTTAATTAGATCAGTAAAAACAAAATATATCTCTTACACTACATAAACTGAACTGGATAGATTTATTTTTTTTACAGGGGTCTATTGCAAGGTTAATGGTGGTTGGTATTTATGTGAGGTGGTAGGGTATCTGCAGATCAGCCTGTACAACCAACCAACCAATCAGAAATATTATAAGCCAAAGATAACTGAATTGTGAAACAATCTAAAGTAAAGATAAAAATTGTTGACCATTTTATACACACTTTTGTATAAAATCATTTATTATCATTTAAATTTTGTCACAATCATAATTTATAAAAATAATATATAAGTAGTTGTGACACAGCTGTCTGCATAACATGGCTTCATAGTTATGATCAAAAAGAGTTTAAATTTGTCAACACTGTTTCTAGTGACAACTAAAAGCATTGCCATATCAACATGAATAAAAAGTATGCTTTATCAGCTGTCAAACTCGTTAGGCTATAATTTTTCAAGGATTTTGCTGATTGGAAAGCAAGATCCTTGTTCGAAAACACTGTAGATCTTTGACAGTTGAGTTTTTCAATTTCCAATTTGACACATGGTACCAGAAACAATGAAACATTCGCAGAGTTAGTACCATCAGTAGCTGTTTTCGTTCCTCAGAAGTTGTAAAGGGTTTAAGTAGATTCCTAGTTCTTCAGCTAATTAAATAAAACTTTCTGGAGTGATTTTTTATTTATTTTTGATAAATAATGTTACAACCGCGACATTTGGGTACATATAACATTTGAAGACTTTAAACAAACATTTCAGTGGATACTCCTTAGAAACAATTTTTTAATAAATATGACTTCTTATTATTCGACAGGAATCTAAATCAATCTGAAGCTAACCAAGACTTTCAAAATATTTTGAAATATTGTAGAATATGTTACTGCAAGGAAAGAAACCATAAAGTGTTGTCCACATAGCTTTAAGGTATTTAAGGTGTATAATTATTCGTGAATCGTTAATTGTTTATTAGCGATTCGAGCCTGAGTTTTTAAAATGGAAAAGTTAAAAGTATTGACAAAAAAAAAAAAATTTGAAAAATCAAACCTTTAAAAACGCATATTCTGTGTTATATTCAATATTGAATACATGAACTACACAGGATCTAGCATGCATGATTTAATTGTCTAGTTTTGTGGTGTCTTTATGCTTCTAATTTTAAGTCATGCATTAGAGAATACATCACTTGTTGCAGAAATTTGATCAACTTTTTTGATAATTAAAGCAATGACAAAGCTTTTTCTCTGGTAGTATGAAGTATTCACGTAAAAGTTTCCAAAGTAAACGGAATAATATATGCATGTTATGCTATAACGGTTCACTTCTTTCATAAATATGCCTTTTGAGGTGGTTATCAAACACTTACAGTCATTGTTAACGTGCAGTTATCAATTACGTCGAGGTCTCATCAACGCACGACCTTGGGGCCTCATGCGGCCCGCGGTTAATATTTGTGCGACTTGCGACATCTATGAAAATACTCTAACAAAACTAAACAAATCCTTTTTTGTCTGATATCATTTAATGTTAATAATGTTGAGATTAATTTTTCTACGTAAAAATTATAAACGGCCCTCCAACCTATTTAGTGATTTGTATTGACTCGCGATCTTATCTTGTTTGGACAGCCGTGAATTAAGTAATAATATGGGTTTGATAAATATAAAAAAGTGAAGTGTTGTGCCTGGTCCATAAAACTACATTCATGTTATGCTTAACCAAAAAATTGCCGAGAAGAAAAACTGAACTCAACATAAAAAAAAACCAGTTTTTTCTAAATCAATTAAAATAATATGTAATTTTTTTTTAAATATAACTTTTGAGTTGCGCACTACCAAAAAATATCAAGTACTAACTAATATTTTGAGTCCCCATCGTCATGGACATGTCCAAAAAGAATTTATATAAACTGCCATGATCATCCGTCATATGGCTGCATGTAAAATATGGTACTTAGGTATATGGACAATTTTTTTTCTCTATATCTCAACAGCATATTTCTAAATTTATAAAATCCGGGAAAATTTTTTTCTCTATAACTCAAATTCACATTTCTTAATTTATATAATCCATATACCTTTTATGTACAGGAAAAAGAGACAATTTTGAATGGATAGATGCGATTGTTAATTTTGGACAAGCAGTAAGCGCTGTTTTCTTTCTAATATTTTGCAGACGAAGCAAGTAATTAATAGGAAAATTTTTTACTTATAAACTACTTAAACCACACAGGGCTATTAATATTTTCTATCTGAAAAGATTTGTAGATTCGATATGCCAATTCCCGCTTAAATTAAAAGATAATGTATTGGGTTTAAAATTATATAAAGTGTAATTATTGTATTCCAAATGGTTTATAAGACTTTCTCCCTCAAAAAAATTTTTTATTTGTTTGAAAAAATAATTTTTGTGTTCTTTTTTAAAACTTTAGTTTTATAACTAAATATACATATAAGCAATTTAGCGCTCATGTTTCACATTTCAAAACAATCTCAAAACCAAATTTAAAGCAACACGACATTGAGACAACGAATAAAACAACATCGATTGACAACAAATATCAATTTTAACATATATATCTTTATATATATATATATATATAGTAGAAGTTATTATTTGTATATGATACCTTTTTGTATGAAACATCATTATAATTTCTTAAAAAGAAATTCGTAAATATGTACATAAAATCAATTTCGACACGAGCACTTATTTCGCCGTGTAAAAACTATGAAAGTCCAAAAAATCGGAAGAATCGGTTTGATTGATCTGTTGTTGTTCAAGCTAAAAGGCGCGGAGTGGTAAAAAAGTGTAAAAGAAAAATTATACAATAGTTGCATATAAATACATAGTTGTAAAATACAAAACAACGAGTTTTTAATGAAATTAGAAATTAGATTAGATAAGAGATAAGGAGATAAGAAAAGAAAAGACAAGACATTAAGTAGAATTTAAAGTGAGAAGTGACTTTAAGAATTGCATGAAATCTATGCAATTTGCTATGATTAGGTGCGGACATACAAATACATGCAATATACATGCTGCATACTTACCAGCTTCTTAAAACAATCTTCGAAGAACCCCGTCATCGAACGATATAAATGGCGTTTAACGCCGGAAAGACTATGTCCCTCATCTGGATAGATTTGCTGCTTAAAGAGAACGCCTTTATTCGTGAGTGCACGTGAGAGCATCATAGATTGCTGTACGTGCACATTGTCATCAGCGGTGCCGTGTACCAGAAGATATTGACGCTCCCGTAAGTTGTCTACATATTTGGACAAATCACCTTCCTCATATCCTTTGTAATTATCGGTAACGTTAGGAAAACTTAAGTAACGTTCAGCATAAGTACTGTCTACAATGATAGAAAAAGACAACATATTAGGAAATTTAAATGCAGCACTTAGATAAGTCTTTTAATTTAAAAATTAAGATAATTATGAAAATATATATTATACTATATATATTCTGTAATATCTAATATCTAATATATATATAATGAACATAGTATTTGAGTTCTAATTTTCAAAACTTATTTTTTGTAGTTCTTTTTTTTTTTGGAATTATTAAAAACTTTATATACATAGACTAATCTTAAAACAAATATTTAATAAAAAATGTAGTAGTAGAGATCTACAAATGCTTGTGCTGTTTGAGATGAATTTTTAGAATGTGGTGGCCTAAAAGAATCAGCTGTGGGCTACAACAGAACAAACGACAATTGATAAACAAATCGGAAAAAGAAAGTATGTGTGGTTGGACCATGATCTACGCTTTAGTGAAATCACGCATGCCTCTCTACAATGGAATCGCGATCGACCAAAGACTACTTGGAGAAAAATAATCAATAGAGAATTCGCAAATTTTTTAGTGAACTAAGAACTATACCTCTTTCTTGAGTTTATATTGTTGAACACGTTAATAATAATAATAATATAGAGATCTACAAATAGTTCTAAGCGATGTTTTGAACTGAGTTAATCAGGAAAATTAAAGGAAAAAAAATTCATAAGCAATAATTTTTATCAACTTTTTGTTGAAATTATAACAGCTTAGATACAAACATTATAACTAGTTATAGTTGCTATAACATGCCATTATCCAGTGTGGACAATTTGTTAATACTGTTGATCACTCATTTTAAATAATTTTAAATGTCTTGATATATATTAAGAACATTGTGACATAGAATTCAACAGATTGGTGAGACAATAAAAAGATATGTCATTGAAGTCGAGACATGAAATAATACAATCAGACAATTAAGCTTAGTCGATATTACTTAAATAACAACTTTTATAGGAATAGCAAAAAATTCAAATACATCATATCATATTGATACTACCATATTGACAGATAGGTCATTAAAGCACATTAAATGTTATGCCCGATTCGATTTGAAATAAAAATACTTATTTAGATTATAATATCTAAGTCTTTTCATTTCCCTAAAAGTGATTCTACTCCCTATGCTCCATTATATGAAATACTGTTAGAATGCTTTTATAGAAATGATATTCAGTTTGCTTGGCGATCTAGTTTTTAACTGACCTATAATATCTATGAATTATGGTATCCTTCAATATCTATTTGTGATATCATATTCTATTACGCAAATGGATTTCATTTAAATGAAGTAGACGATTATATAGTCAACTACATGCAGCTGTAGTTTACACAGATCAGTTTAGATTTGAATGCAGCTGCATATTAACCGATTTTTAGTCACTTGTTCTTATAAATTTTAATAAACTTCATTGTATATAGCTGCCATATAAAACCGGCAGGTAACTCCGCCGTCACCTCTTTTTCTTGTAAAAAAAAAAACATTTCTAAATTTTATTAAATTTTATTTAGAATAGTTACACGACTTAGATTTAGATATAGCTGCTATTTAAACTGATACTTATATTTAAACGACCAATTATTTTAATTTCAGCGTACTTCATTTCAAATAAGTACTTGACTATATATAAAATACATGTGTATTAGTTATTCTATATAATTAATTTTATATATACACACATTTAAGCGTATGAGATATAATTCTATCCCTTACTTAGGCAAGACTAAAGTGTTAGATTATATAACAGCTATATTCAAATCGATTCGCAGACTATTCTTTAGAATAGGGGGCACTTACGCTGTCTTGCAAACTTATTTCAAGGTGCACGAAATTCACAGCTTGCGTGAGTTTGCCATGAATAATAACAAAATGCACGTACAAAGTTTCTTCCAATGGCTTGCAACGCAACAAAAAAGGAAAAAAAATAGCTGTATTGACATCTGTTGCTTCTCATGTGGATGTGGTATGCTGCAAAAACAGCTGTTTTATTTTATTTAGTATAGCATTCTTGCATTTCATGCACCTCGCAATGACTTTGCAAAACAGTGTTAATACTCCGCATTTCTTTATTATGTTTGTATCGTCGTATTATTAATTGCAAATAATTGCAATGATTTGATTTGATAGACTTTATGAAGTTGCAATCATTTAGATTGCATTTTTCTTCAGAAAAAAAAACTGAAATTATTTAGCAACAAAGTGGAAGAATATGACAAAATGAAGCACATCTCAAATCAAAGCCGATTTACGGAAATTGATTCTAATTGAAAATTGTAAGGCGGTGGCAACCCTGATGAGAAGAGAAGTTAATTGTTGGTTAATTATTAATAATTAAAACATTAAAATAAGTAAAGTGAATTACATATTTCAATAATTAAGAAAATAGAATAATAATCAATTTTTAATCTAGTATTCATAAAATATTTGGAATATTTTATTCAAAAGTATTTGTTTCAAATCAATAATTTTTTTTTTTTTGTGAAACAATATTTATCATGTAATAGCTTCAATTTCATAGACTTTTTGAGATTGCAATCATTTCGATTGCATTTCTCTCCAGAAAAATGAAAACTGAAATCATCCTGCAACAAGGTGGGAGAATACGAGAAAATGATTTTATACTTCCTTGCATTGCTTATCTCAAATCAAAACAGATTTATGGAAAATAATTTTAATAGAAAATAAAGTAATCAATTTTTAGTCTAGTATTCAAAAAATTTTTAGAATATTTCATTTAAAAGAAATTGTTTTTCAAAACAGATATTCTTTTCAAAAACAAAAATTATCGTGGATTGTTTTTTTTTAGAAAGTTTGTGTTATCTGGCTAACGTATCAATAACAACATTATGTCTTCTGATGATGATGTATGGCACACTGTTGAATCTAGCCGTGGAAAGGCTAAATCCAAGAAGCAGATGAAGCAGAAACAGGTTGTGCGTACTGCTCCAGCAGTGGTAAGTCCAATAGGACCAATGGTTCCAATTGAAACAGTGACCCAAGGACAGCTTCGTTGTAAGTTAAAATCGTCTTTTAAGAATGTAATAGATATATAACAAATAATTTATTTAAACACATTTTTTAATTTCTTATAAAGCATAATTAGTATAAATTTTTAAAAACAGTAGCATCGTGATTTGGGGACAATTACATGGAAAATTATTCATATTTCACTATTATAAATAACTTTCAATATTACCTCACAATTTATTATGGGTTTACTATGAATTTTGTATAATCAATGTTTTTGCTGCAGATTTGATATATGTTATTGCAAGTTTCATTTATTTAGGACGTTTGTATTGTATAAAAACTCCATAAATACGGACCTTTGACTAGAAAGATTGTAAAGCACTTACAAGATATCACTTATCACATGTTGTTATTTGTGAAATATAGTAGGATCTGAGGGATCTAGCAAGCAAAAAGCAAAATCATCCTTCTATTTTAGTAGGACCCATCAAAAATGACAGAATTGATTAGATTATTTAATAATGAGAATAGTAATGATAATTATGATAATAACGAGATAATGAGAAAGTTTGTCGATGTAAGAAAACAGGACTCTTAAACTATTCATTACAAGAGTTCATAGAATTGTTCACGCAGTAGACTGTAGACACTTATTAATCTGGCTCAGATTTGTGATAGTGTAACAAATAAACAGAAAAATGACGTTATAATATTTTGAGCTGTATTTTCGGCATATATCAGAGTAGTCAAGTTCATAAAGATTAAGTAACTATTAAAAAAGTAGATAAATTGAAACTTTGATAATTTTTAGTTTCTAAAAATTTCAGATATTGATAAATTGATACATATGAGTCGGTACAGCAGTGTAAAAAGTACACTGATGTATTAAGAAATAAATTTATATATATATATATATATATTCAGTAGAATATCTCGTAAAATCTGAAGATACTTCTTTGGTGCAAACGTGTGGTCTATTGTCAGAGTAGTTGAAATTATAGGTTACGAAAGGAAATTTTTTGTCGAAACAAATCATTAAATCAAAAAACTCCAAAGCAGTTTTTCCAGAAAGCTTCGCCATAAAATTGGTTTTTGAATTTTTGATATATATGCTTTCTTTTGTGTAGATTTTTATTTAACACACTTGTATTATATTAATATGTTGAGTTTTTATTATAGTCAATCAACCAACAAATAAGCAGATGTTGTCATCAGGAAATGTTAATAAACTATCCGAAAATACAGATGCAGGTCGTCATAAGACTTTGTCTATGGAGATTGCCAAGCTGATTGTAAAGGGCCGTGAAGCTAAAGGTATAAGCCAAAAGGAATTAGCTGCTGTAAGTGTTCATACCTATTATTATAATCAAATATATGACTAAAATTTTAATTTATTACTATTTTAAAATAATTTAGAAAATTTACGAAAGACTGCAAGTTGTTGTCGAGTATGAAACCGGTAAGGCTATACCTGATAGTAAGATATTATCAAAAATTGAGAAAGTAATAGAAATAAAGTTACTTGGAAAAAACATCGGAGATAAGTTGGTTCGTTTTCCAAAGACAGGCGGTGCTGAATTAGTCCTAAAAGGTGGAAAGAGCGCTAGAGGTGGAGCACGCAAAATATAAATTACTGTTTGACATATATTTAGGGTGTAGTATGAAAAAATACCACACACGCAAATTATTTTTGTTATTATTCGGCGATAATAGTTTTTTTTCGATTTCCTAAAATTATACGTGTCTTATCCGAATATACAATAGATTCAATAGATTACAATAAATTATTTAGATACATGAACATCCATGTAACTTCAGGGCAGCTTATCGTTTGATATAACGGTTGTAATTATCTACTAAAATAAATTGCTAAACTAAAACAGTGTAAAAAATTTTTTGTATTTATTACTATTTTTTATAGTTAATAATTTTTAGTTTTTTTGAAAACAATATAGTATTCTTATAATGTATAAATTACAAGAAAACATCGGATCATAGGTATGTATATATTTTCACAGATTTTTAACTGGATGTCAGATAGGAGTCAGAAATATATCATAATTTGTTGTGAAATATTTACTTTTATCACACTTTCTTATCTTAGTTCCTATATATTACTTAATTTCTAATAACATTGGTAAGAAGATCCCAAGTTCTTAGAATCGCAGTTTTAAGCTACAAGCCTTGGTAGCTTGGTATAGAATTTAAGTCAAAAATTAAATAAGAATACAGACAATTCTATAAGTTTAATATTATTTCATGTCAAATTACTAATACGACAAGTTGATAATAATTGTTGACTGCATGAAGCGTTACTGTATTGAATTTGCTCCAATGGACATGAAAAACATAAGTCACAGAAAAAATTAAACAGTTAAAATCAAAAGAATAAGTGGTGTAGAGCTTATTAGGGAAATCTGGATTTATATATCGTGCCACTTTGAAAACTCATAAAAATGAGTCTGACAATAACAACACAAGATCTGTTAGGGTCACATGATCTGCGAGGTTATGCTTTAAAAAAAAAGAAAAGAGTTCAAAAAGTAGTAAAAACTACTGACGAAAGAATCGGAAGATAGTCAGTAAAAATTTAGCAAAAGAAAAAGTGAATACTAGTTTACAAAAGCTTACAGGAAAGTATACGAAGAGTTGAGGAAACAAGGACGCGATTATTATTGTAAATGGAATACTGTAATACCACTAGCTTTGGATACCTACTACATATAACTATTCTTTAGATAAGCCTTGGTTTTAGTAGCATTATCTTTGATTTACTTATAGCTGGTGACTAATTTAGTTGTTGTATAAGTCATTTAAGAATTTGAGTACCCTGTATTTCGATTTTTTATCGAGACCTAAAATACTCTTGAAAGAAAGATCTTTAAAACTGCATAAAATGATTTCGATTGTAAGTGTTAGATTGTAAGTCTACGCTATGTAATTTATGGTCGATCTCCATTTCTGCACCCTTGAGGATTCCCGTAACACCCTTGCGCCGTAACAGACTATTATTCTAGGATGTCAATTTTTTAAAAATTGTAAGTAAACACTTATTGCTACGTGCTTGGAATTTCATTGTAACAGTTCTTGATGAATGCCACGTTTCATATTCATATAGTAAAACAGATTTGATGCAAGAAGAGTAGATCAGTATTTTGCTCTAAATGCAGTACACGGATTCTGTTGTTCATATCAGCTAAAGTAAAGTGAATTTTAGCTAGAATTTCTCTGGCTTGAAGTGCAAATCATACCAATTTACGCATAACTGTATCGAAAGCCTTCATAAAGTCAATGACGAATAGATATAGTGACGAGTTAAGTTAGAGCGATTGTGTGATAATGACGCGAATGGTATTAATATGGTCAACCCAAGATCTTTTAGGAATAAAACCAGCCTGGCTTGTATTTTTTAGGTTCGTGAAATGTTCCGATATTCTGTCTAAGATATTCTGGTTAAATATTTTCTGAAACAGAAGGATTTATGCTTAGTCCATGTGGATTGTTGAAGTTGTGAGTGTCCCTATTTTTAGTAATTTTAACTATAAGGGACTTTTCCAGTCGGTTGGAGTGCCTTCGGTCACGCATACCTCACGAAAAAGTGTACAAGTATACCCAATTCCAGGAGATTTCTTGTTTTTAAGTTTATTAATAGCTGCGCAAATTTCTAATATCGTATGAACATATACATTGATGTGTCTAGACTTGTTTAGCTTTTTTGACCTAGAACAAATCATTTGCAGTGTGCATTCGATCTTTTGAAATGGAAAAAATGCAGTAACGAAAAGAAATATGTTTTTTTCTTTTGACAAAATGTGTATATTTTTTTTTTGCAAACATTCGTTTAGACATTATAAATATTTGATGGGGCAGTTAAACGTCGTCTCCTAATTTTCTTGGTACGTCAATATGACAACGGATTTTACTATAGTCGGCTATTTCGATATAAATCACTTTTCCAACTATCAATATTTCAAGTTGTTGAGACACTATAACAATATATTAACTAAATATATGATATGTTGTATTATATGATATTTTTACCAAGAATAGCGTTAGAAGGTTCGAATACTTGTTGTTATTTATGTTCGTGTAAAAGTTTTTAACTTTAGACTTCATGAACTAAGTTATATCCACATTAAGCAAAGTGGAAAGAGTTATTTAAAATAGCTGCAATCCATTGTCAATAGAAGTACCCACAAAATTAGACTCTTTAGAACTCTTTTTATAATCATATTTTTATAATTTATGATGTGTAAACGTCAAATTTTCAGTTGGAAAAAGATTCTGAAACACACTTAGCAATATCTATTGGTATATTCCAACAGATCCTTCTGATGATATTTGTTAATGACCCAATATCTTTTAACGGTCTTTTAGACTTTAATTACGTATAAGCCATTCCCATACAGTCTCAATTGAATTGAAGCAAGCATAATAAGAAAGTCACTTCAATAATTATATGTTTTGATTTGGTATCCTGGTTTTTACTTAGGGAGCTGTATGAATTGGGATGTTATATTGGAAAATTTTTGATTTCCGAATTTTGTTTGTAAATGTATTGTATTAAGATTTTATTATTTTTATGACATGAATTTAAATTATTTTGACCATGTCACTGTTAAAGTATATACAAACCAGAAAACTGCAATGAGTACTCAACACTAGAATCATACTCGAACCATTGACTCTTTTACGCATATAAGGTTCCACCAGTTTCGTACATACAGTTGATAGTACTTAAATTGATTTGTACTCTGCGCATAAAATACTCATAAACACCGACATTCGACACAAAAATGATGCAAATGATTTATGAATCATTCATGAGTAATACTCACGGTCGGCAAAAATTTGGTTGTTGTTGTTTACTGTGCATATAATTTTCTACTAAAACAACCCCTAAATTAATACGCAGATAATATTTAAGAACACAAACAAGACACATGTATTTACAATGCTGGCAACAACAACACACAACACAAAAATTTTTTTTTAGCAAGGTCACAAAAAATGCGCTAAATTGAATGCTACAAGTCATTCGAGTCATTCATTTTCGTTGATTATATTCATACTCACCCACCTGAGTATATGCTATAATTCATGAATCATTTTACCATTTATGTTACTCTACTTAGAAATGTGTGGCGAATGTGAATGCATATAAGCAATGTGTGAGAAAAATATTTATATGCATTTAGATTTGGTTTTTTATGAATGTACTCTGAGTGTTGAAATTATGACTCGTTCAAGTTCTCTGATGATGATGATATATTTTTTTGAGACAATATAATCCAAACAGAAATTAGTCACAACGGTAATATAATATTTCTCTTGCCCGCTATATTATTAATAAAAGAAGACATCTGATTGTGATTATTTAGTAATCCGAAGGAAAATATAATTTTTGTTCATATTTGAAAGCATGTCAGTGTATATCTGATGTCAGTCGAGCTAAACAAAATTAAAAAATTATCGAGATTTTGAAAACCAAATAGAATAGCGATTGTTTTCAAATTTTCCTATAGAAATTTTGAATATGCAAATGGTTTTCTTAGGAAAAAATTATCGTCAATGAGGTAGTTACACTGAAGTATCGCAACACTATCGCAAAATCAATTAAAGTTTAATTGCTGTCGATAGTATCTCCCACCAAAATTTTAAATCTTTCATCTGTTTATCATATATAGACGTTTATGCTGCTGTATCTAAAACCTCAATCAACTTGTTCAACCAAACCAAAGACTACTATCACATTTTTTATTATGACTCATTTTTTGTACTTTTTAGGACTGCTAGTATATTAATTAAAAAGTAACAAAAGTAGGCTAGCTTGTATTTAAAATGGCACCAATTTCGTGGGTTGTTACTTTTAAAAATATTCTGAAGTTTTTTATTTTTTATCTTGTAGACCGATTTAGTTTGTTATAAGCGATATTTGTAATTTATCAGTTCTTACAAAGCCATATAATCTTTTTTAAAGTAAGTATGCAATATATGTAAGAAAAAGTATTCCATTATATAGTATGATATCACTTACCATATAGTTTCCAATTGGTGACAGGTGATACACTAATACCACATTGAAATATGGATTGAGCACCAGCTAAAGCTAGTGCTGCCGTGTAACCACCGTAACTCCATCCCCATACGCCCATTCGTCTACCATCGATAAAGTGTAAATTGTCACGTAAATATTCGCTTACCTCTAACTGGTCTGAAACTTCAACAGTGCCTAAGCGTTTATAAATTTCATGTAGCAACTGATAGCCTTGACCAGCTGAGCCACGTCCATCAATTTCAATAACAATATAATCTTTACTACCAGCTAGATATGTATTCCAATCAACATGCCATTTCTCAGTAACCAATTGAGTGCCTGGCCCTGAATATACATGCAAAATGGTGGGATAACGAGTGATTTCATCCTCTCGCAATACTGGTGGCAAATGGAGTCGCACCTGAGCATGGTAACCACCTGAAATCATGACTGGAAACGTTTTAACTTGCGGCAAAGCGGTGCGCAAAATTTTTTCTCTCAGACGCGTATTATTTTGAATGGTCAACAGTAGTTCCAGGATCTCCGTTTTATCAGTATTTGATGATATTCGTTCATTAGATGCTCGTTCTCGTTCACTATTGACTATTCCATAAATACCTGATGTGGGCACCAGTGGTCCTAAACATTCTATGAGCACATATTTTGCTTGTAAGGCAACTGGAAACTGAGCTGTGTGATAAAGGCATTCATTAAATGTTTGAGTCGAGTGCAACGTTTTAGTGCGTCTATGTTCAGGTGATAACGTCGGTGGTGGAAGTGTTAAACGTTCTTCTGAATCTTCCCAGTCATCATCCCAAGCAGTTACCAGTTTCGGTGGGGGCTTTGTATGCCCTTCATTATTACCATTTCCACTACGTAATTGCTCAGGGCATGTAAGACATTCAGGTGCTTGTAAAGGTGAACCATGTCGTGGCGGCAGTGCCGACACCCTATATAAGTGTTGTTGAGCCGGCAGTCGTTCAGGTGTGCCCAAAAAGTAACTGAAGTGCAATTTAAAAAGAAAAAATAATTAATATCATATTAGTGATTCTGATTGCCACATGTGAACATTAGTATTCTTGCTTACATCCAATTATCAATTTGGTCCCAATGAAGTAAACGATTAACTTCGAATTGTCCGTGCGTAAGTGGTAGTACACGTTTCTTAGACACGTGCACATGAACGATGTGGCGAAAGTAGCCTACAATGAATGACAACAATGTTTCACAATGGAGCAAGATTTGTAAATATGGTACATTCAAAATGTATTAAATGAATATATATATGGTGGTTGAGTACATATGCCCTATAATTGCAACTCACCAGAGGTGCCATCACGCAATGGCGATATGGCCACATACGATGTTGCGTTTCCTGCAAACAATGGCACTGATACAGTATCCACCCAACCACGTCCATCACCACTCACGCGATGAGTCTACAAGATTGCATGTTTGTGAGCATAAAAAACAAATAAATATACGTACATTTATAATAAGAGAAACACCTTATCAAAAGCAATACATTTTTTTACACCGAAATGACGGTTAGCGGAAATTTTAGTCCACTAGCCCATTTACTGCTTCAAAGAATGAATAAGCTTCATTGATAGCAGATATATGTGTTCGTAGAATTGTATAGACTTTACTTACCTCGACACAGATAAATATTGGACTCTTGCAAATACTAACAACGGAAATATTTTGTGGACGATTTAACCAAACTACGGAGATTTCGGTATCGGTCACCCAACTCGCACTGGTGAAGTAATGATCTCTGCGCACATAAATAAAAATGAGTTTGTAAGTATAATTTCAATTCTTTCATAAAGATTTTTGAACTGTTATTGACTTACTCGTTGAGAAGCAGCTGTGGAGGCTGAACAAGATGTATGTAGAAATTAGTGGGGTCGGAAAGGTCAGCCACAAATAACTTCACTGTGGGATTTTGTGTGCCTGGCTTAGGATATCTGCAAGTGAATATGAATAGTAGCACAAAAAGTTTTTATTTTAAGTTGTTTTAATAATAAATTTAAAAATATTTGGCTTAAATACTACCCCACAAAAAAAAAACCTTATAATCAGTATTGACGAAAACCTCAACTAATTCGGATATAAGCTTGTATACTAACATATTGTTTTTTTTTGCAGGTATTATGTTCATAGCTGGTCATAAATTTGGATGATATAAAAAGTATTCGCGGTTTTATGGAACATTTTTGGACAAACATTTATTTTGCTGTAAATTAATTTTATGTATATTGGCCACTTTTGTTTATGGACAGACAAGAAATCATATCAAAGACCTTTATTTTATTTCAAGAGATCAAAAGTCAAGAATCATCGGTGTAGAAATTCTATAGTTTGTTGGCAAAAAATTAAGCCAAATTATTTTTAGAGGCTCCTTCGTAAACCAATTTTTGCTATTAAGACAGTTTTGCAGAAACCTAAAGAACTATTAGTCAGATCGTACAAGATCCGGAATATATGCTAGATTAAATAAAACTTCAGAACCAAGTTCTGTTAATTTGATTCTCTTCATAAGATAATATGTGGCAATAGCACACAACTCCTTTTCTGTTGACCAAGTTTTTTTTTGATCGTTTAATTCAAGCGGTAGAGTTGTAAACAATTTAGATAGAAAACAATAGATAGAAACAACACTTCCAATTTAACCAAACGCTGAACATAACCTCGTCAATCTAAGTTTTGAAATCAGAGGGAGGGAAATAAGAATTCGATCATAATCGTTTGCATTACATATTTTTTTTTGTATTTAATATTTTTTATATTTTTGTCTTTAATCCATTTTTTGTTGCCAGAAATGAGGTTGACGCTTCGTGCCTCCGCTGTATCCTAATATCTACCATGTTGATTGTACTTCACCAGACGCAATATATCCCATTGAATTTTTAATGACTAACCAACTAAAACCAAACGAAACATGCCAATTACTATTCCACGAACGGAAAGTATTGAGAAAGATTTTCGTCCCAATACGTCTAGATGATAGCACATATCGTATTCACTACAACCACGAATTAGAGAACTCAATTGACGAGCAGAATTTAGTACGACATATAAAATCACAACGACTAAGATGGCTAGAACACGTTGATCAGAAATATAAGCAGTTGCAAAAAACCTGATTGAATCCCGAAGTAGAGGCGGACCTAGTAAGTGGTGGCTAGATTACGCTGAAGAAGATTTAATGAAGCTACGCGTGAGCAATTAAAAAAACTTGATATCGGATCGAGTCAGATGGCAGAAACTAGTTTAGGAAGTACTAGGCCACTCAGGACTGTTTTGACAAGAAACAAGAAGAAAAAGAAAGATTCACATCAATTGTTTCTTCAGATATTTCACTTATTTTTAAATCAATACGAAATATGCCTTGGCAGAAGAACGTAGCCTGAATTATTTTAAACAAGTGTTTCTTTGATATGATTGGGTTAATGTTGGCAGTCATATGGGTGCCAATACCATCTAGTGACATAAAACCACGGATACTTTTTATATTATACGATTTATGAAAAACTACTAATGGAGAGATTAAGATTAACATTATAATTCCAGAGTTAAAGAATAATTAATATAACATACATCCATTTTTAAGTTTTTATTTATAAGAAACAAGAAATAGGTTAGCTAAAAGCTATCATCTATTACACAATCGATTTTGGTAACTTATTCTGTTCCTTCGGCATAAGCCGAATAAGGTATAAGCCGAATAAGGCATAAGCCGAATAAGACATAAGCCGAATAAGACATAAGCCGAATAAGGCATAAGCCGAATAAGACATAAGCCGAATAAGGCATAAGTTGAATAGCGCATAAGCCGAATGAATCGTAAGCCGAATAAGCCGTAAGCCGAATAAGTCGTAAGCTGAATAAGGCATAAATTGAATAAGGCGTACGCCGACTAAGGCATATGTCGAATAGGAAGTCATAAACTGATATAATGCAGTTTTTGAGATATAGGGTTTTGACATTATATATATTTTATATTGAATAGAAAATATATGTTGAATAAATATTAATAAAAACAGCATTAGTCATCTATTTGCAACTTTTCTAGGATGAGACTGTTTTTTGCTTGCGTTCTTACGTGAAGATAACTTCATTAAATAATACCCAGACTTGTTAATTTCTTTCGTTTCACATTCAATAGGTTTTAATGAGAGAAATTAGTTTCGCAGCACAATTTAAGATAATTACGTTATTATTGGAATAAAACAACAATAATAATAACAAAAACTCACCTCAGTGACCTTATTTCTGGATATAAATACGCATTTGGATTACCACCACTTGTAGTGCCATACCAAGCAAAATGTTGCTCCTGAACTAAGGAATCATTAAACGAACTGTATAACATCAGGCGTCCATCAGGCGAAAGCCAAATAGCATTATTTGTATGTAAAATTTCCTCTTAAACGATATAGGTAGGAAAAAAATGTTATATATTAAGTTATAGAGTCTAGTGTAATATAAGTTTTAATTGCATATAAATTAATTTTATTAAGAGTTGACTTAATAAGTTCTAACTTGCAAGGACTCAACTCACCTTCATATAACCAATCAGGAATGCCATTATACACAACGCCAGGCACCGCATCACGTGTCACTCGATAAACATGATTAGTACGAGGTCCTTGCGAGTAGTACGTGTCGTAGTTGTAAACAAGTACGAAGGCATTTCCAGTCGGGGCGAAAGTTGCATAATGCAAATACGGCCATTCTTCATCATTAGCATCGATTTTCAATTTGATGCTTTCACTAGTGCCATAAGTGAGTAACACGGAATCATGTAAGAACAAAAAAAAAAAAATATCCACATTAATATATGTATTGGTCCGGAAGTAGAACATAATAAGTATATACTTTTATATAAACGGTAACTGAATACACAAATGTGCTTTAAAGAAATTTAAGTAAAAGAGCTTAACTATGTTATTAACTATTTTCCATTTTATTTTGTACTCTATATACTAAACTTCTAAAATGCATTTATTTCTATTTATTCTCTAAACTTACCTCGTTTGAATGTCAAACAGCGTATATTGTGCCAAAAACGAATGTCGGAAAAGTTTAACAACATTTTGTGCCAACAGAATGTATCTCTTATCGGCTGACAGGGAAAACGTATATGGAGCAAAAGTTTTCTTAAAAAATAAAAAAAAACGGAGTAAAATAGTTTAGACATTATCACAAATGTTTTACATTATTTTTATTTTTTCAATTTCTATCTCATTTATTAAAAATGCTAAGTCTTTTGAAATATAATACATTCCCCATTTAGTACAATTTCCCCCATTCAGTTGAAACGAAGACCACTTTAACCACTTCAGTTAAATTTTTAAAAATTACAATAGTTAAAGACTTTTCTTCTTCTAAATGGAAATTGAACCTTAAGTCGTTAACATACGAGGGTCACTATTTATATATTCAGCCTAATAATGAAAAAATACTAACTTGTGCTTTAAAATTGCTTTATTCCTTCTCGAAGTTGTACACTTTTGCATGCATTTGAATCATTTGTCAAAGAATTTTTTACAATCTTCTACAGACACCTCCAAAACATGGTTTTTAAATGCAATGACGGCTTCTTCCGCCGACAGAAATCGTTGTACGTTCGGAAACGGGAAGAAGTCACTGGGTCCCAAATGAAGATTTATTGAATGTTTAAAAGGTGTCTTGTTAAACGAACAGTCGTATTGTCTTGATGAAGATGAAGAATTATCCGTTGGCTGTTGTTTGTTATCCATATTTCACTGAACACTTCCGATAAACAAATGGTTGTATCCGTATATCATTCAGAATTCACCATATTACGTACCTGTAAAGGTGCTCGTATAGTTGGCACATGATTAGTTTTCCCGCGATCAGAAAAAACAAGCGACCATTTGTTACGAAGTGCTTCGAGCACGAATAACTTTTGTTGGATTTGGTTCATCTTCAATCACCCATACAGTCGACTGCTGTTTGTGTTCCGGCTCATACGTATAGGTATATCCATAATCACCTGTTATTAACTAATACTCGTACACGTTTTTTAAAGTACCGCTTGAGCATTTGTGTGCTGTGTACACCAATCGACACGAGCATCTTTTTGAAATTTTGTAATATTATGGGGAATGGGATCCAACGATAACAAACCTTTTTCACGACTTAATGTTCGTTCAATATTTTATATATGCTGTTGGTTTCGTCAATCTCACAGTACGAGTACGTCACTTGACGATCATACATTACGAGTATAAGTTTTGCACAGCATCAATGTTTTCTGGCACAACAACTGATTTTGGACAACCTTAACGAATTGCGTCAGCGATCGAAGTGCGGTCACGATTAAAATCAGGATGGAGCTTTATTCTCATATGTAGAAGTAAGTTGATCCATGCACTCTTGTTTCGATAATCCACGTCGGAAGGCACATTAATTCCATTTTTTCGTAAACACTTAATTTTTGAATAAAGTACTCGTGTTGCTGTAAAGCTACGCTTTCTTTGTATGGTGACAAAGAAGCTTTATTAAAATCCCTCTAAACACTTAATTTACAAATCTCCGTGAATAACACAAATAACGCTTTTTTGACACAAAATCTGAAGTAGGTTATATTTAATAATGTCAAACTTTCATATGGACACGTCAAGTGACACCTAACAACAATCAGTGTTGCTAAGGGTCCAAATATAAAAAGTGACCCTTGTAATATGAAAGGAACGTCCAACAACTGCATAAACACAAGAAACTTTTGCAAAAATGTTGAATATAATTTGGGAATATCGGTAATTGGTTTATTCTTTTTTAAGAAGCTATTTTAAAATTTACGTTCCAGTATATTTTTTTGTTCATGAAGGTTTAAGGTAATGGAAATTTCTACCGAAATGATGAACGCTGTAGGTGATTCTGCGTATTTAAGAGCCATGGCTGGTAAGTGGACTTGCTTGTTCGAAAGTGATATTATAAATTTTTGGATATTCTTCAATATTTCTTTTACATAAAGAATGTCCCAAAACTCCACAAATGCAAGTAACCTTCGCAAGAATGCAGGATATTGTTTTGGAAGATTATTGATTGAGTCAAATGGAGGCAAGAGAAGCTCTAGACTTTTCAATAAGAATAATGAGTACTACAATTTTTTTTTTTTGCTAAAAGTGTCTTTTTGGTACGTAATAAGTAATTTGACGTACAAGTAAAAGTGATTATCATAATGAGCAAATACCAACAAAATCAAAAATTGTATAGTACTGACATGTTATCTGCTGATTAATTGTGGGATTTCATGAATAGTTTTTAAATCTAAATTGTTATGTAGGATGTCATTGTTAAGCAATTATTTTGCATTGAGAACGTTATGGAGCACTTTTTGTTAGATTTTCTTTTGTTTTTGCCAAGTAACCGGTAAAGCTTTCTCAACCTGACTTTGGTTTCGTTTAATTATCTCTTAATAAGATCCCACTGAAACAATGTGGACCCGATAGTTACTCTGAAGTATTTTGAGTGCGGCTTAATTTAAATTTAAACCAGTTTATTGCATTATAATCAAGTTTGTTTGTTCCTAAACATAGCACTGTGTCATTTGTTGGTATTACCTTATTACTTGTTATTGATATTAGAATATCTGTCGTGAAAAGATGCTGATTCCATGGGTACCGCGGTACCCATGGATATGTACTTACTTATTTTATTTTTGAGTGTTGTAGTATTGATTCATATTATATCGTAGTTCATTTTAATTTTAGTAATTAGTATATGTGACTTGTAAGATGCATTTATTATGAGAGTTATAGATTATGTATGTTTTTTAAATTGTGTTTAATTAAGAAAGTTTACTGGCAATTTTACTGGATATTGGGATTGTCTTCTTATACCGCTATTAAAAGCCTGCACCAAAGATTTTGGTTTTATAAATTCGTAATGTTCATTATTTTTTCTCATTATCTTCAAAAACTACATGTATGACAATGTTAGTCTTATAATATAAAATGTATGGTTAGGAGATATTCGTTTAGAAATTAAAATACAAAATTAATAAAAATTTGTTGCCTTCTATGGTAAAGTGCTTTACACAGAGGAATATATTTAACTACCTTAAAACATTTTTAATATTAGGTATTTGTTTTTTTTCTTTATTTCACCTACAAATAAGGTTTTAAGTTGTGTTTTATATGGTTTATGTTAATAGGATACTAATGGTCCAAATATCGGTTGTTTTAATTGTTACTAAGACTGGTATATTGCAGTATATATTGTGACCGACTTATGTAGTGGCTTTTTGTAGGGTTGTGATTTGACAAAGCACTTTTTTTTTCCAGTAACTGTCGTATGAAACAGTTTTTTGTCCACATTCAGTGCCTTCCATTTTCATCACATGATCAAACCAGTAAAGCCGCGCTACAGTAAACATATTGAGGCCTTTTGCCGGGTTGTGATTTGACACAGTACTTTTTTTTCCGGCAACTCTTGTTTGAAACAATTTTCTGCCCTCGATCAACGTCTTCCATTTTTCAGTAAAATGGAAAATGAGTGGAACTTGATCATTTTCTATGACTAATCCAATAAAGCTACTGGAAATGAGTTCTCTGCAAAATATAGAGCATGTTGAAGCTCTTGGTTTCTTCGAATGCGGAATTCGTTGAGGATTAAAGACAACATGAAGGATTTATTTATACAGATAAATAAATGAATTTTAAAGTAGCTTTTTATATCAAATAAATGTCACTTCTGGATTGAGTTCAGATTGAGTTTTTGGAAATTTGGTATTTATTTTTCATTTATGTCTTTCACGGGCGAATTAATTGAAGGCAGAAAAATTGTCATTCAATTTAGTTTTAAATTTGTTTATTTATTTTATTTTTTATTTTCACATAAATTCGAATCACGGATATTTGCTACTTCGCTGAATATGAAATCAGAAGTTTCACGTGAGAGTCCAACCATTTTTATGCTATTTTTCCACTTAAGATCTGGGTCTTATTTTATTTGTGAATATTTATTTGTCTCCCTTAAATGTCTTTGTTCGCTTTTCTTATTATGTTAACAATTTTTAACAAGTAATTTTTTTTATTTATCTTTGCCGCTCTAATAAATAATTTTTCTGAATAAAAGGAAAACAGCGGTGCTAAGTGAAGCGGATGCACTTCAGATAAAATTAAGAAGTTTATGTCAATTTTTAGGAAGGCAAAAATAGTATCTGAGATTTGTACAAGTTTCACAATAAGATAGATGAAAAACGTTAACTAAATAAATAAGTTTCAATTAGAATCAAACGACTCTGAAAATTTTCAATATTATGAAATTAAATATCAAACATAACAAATTAATTTATTTTTTTTTCTACTTACATAAGTGACATTCGACATCAGCACTCGTTCGGTTAAGTTGGCAACATTCAAAAGAGTTATCCGACCCCAATGATCTTGATACAGAAATTCTTCAGCTGAAAAGGAAGAATAATATGGCGCTTAAACAAGTATAAAGAATTCTTTTCCAAATAAATGAGTTTATGAGTATTAATGGTTTGGCTTTCTGTTATAGTCATATGTCCTATGTATTTATTTTAATTCTATTCTGTTTGGTATAATCAATATTAATTATTGTATTTGACATTTACCATTTATCCAAGTACCATTTGCTTGTTGCGGCAAAAATAAACCATCTACAATGTCCTGCAGTTTAATGCGCTGACCTTTGACTCTAGGACCTTCATCGGGCGGCGTAAGTAGAACCTTTGATAAATGCAGAAATTTTATATGACGTTTTCTATGAAAAGAAAAAGCAACAAAAACGACAACGAAAAACGAAAAGAAAACAACAGAACACCAACATGAAGGAGCATAAAAAATCACAAAAATCGAAAATGCTTTTCTTTACAAACGAAAAATTAAAAAAAAAAATCAATTCTTCATCATTTGAGATGCGATGCATTTTGTTTTGAAACCCAAAATGCAAACATTTTTACTTTAAAATATTCTAAAATTTACTGGGTTTAAAATACACAAGTCTTTCTACAATATTTTATATTTGATTTGAATGAGCTGAGGAATGTACCTTACTAGGAGAATTACTTGACTTGAGCGGTTAGTACACTGCAAGTCTTCTTTGATAAATGTTGTGCTCTCTTGATGTTGTGCTACTATATTCAGTGTAAAACTCCAGACAATAATAGGTAAAAATTTATATAATTGATACCAAACTTCCGTTTGGTAATAATTAAATCTTTAAAAAAAATTCAGTCAGATGAAAAATAGACAAAATTGTTGACAAAATGCTAAGCTTCAGCGGATATTGTAAGACGTCTTCATAAGTTCAGTTTAGTCCAACTTTTTAATAAATCAGGTAACAAATAAGGTTAAGCAATTATATTGGGTGTATTATGGGTGTATATGAGAGCTACCCATATCGCTGACTTTGGTTTGTAATCTGAGAATGTCAAACTATGTTGACATTTCTGTTTAGTAAGCTTTGGTAATTCATCATGATTGTTCGTCCATTTTAAGGTCAACGTAATCGGTCTAGTAAGCAAGCGCTTCGTATAGATATTGATTGTTTTCGCACTAATTTTACTCTTGTCAATTTAAAACAATCAAATATCCATAATCAATTTTTATGGGTGGCGACTTCATCGGTTTTTATTTCTTTCGAAAAAAGGGAGGAGTTATCAAGTCATGCTGACTAAATTTTTGGTTCCAAAAATTAGTCAGCTAAACATTGGCTTCAACAAGACGCAAGACGGCGGAACTTGCAATACAGCGCGCTTAACAATCAATTTATTGTGAAATCAATGAAATGGTAATAACTTTAACTCCAGAAGTGGCCCCCTCGTTCGTGTGAATTAACGCCTCTCGATTACTTTTTATGGGACTATTGAAGTCATGAGTTTATGCCGATAAACCAACAATTCTGTTTTGTATTTCCATGTAGCTAAAAAAAATACCTTATATATAGAAATCCAAACAGTTCTATACTTTTCTGATCAAAAATAAGTTGAAATTCTTAATTTTAAATAGGCTGAGTTTTTTATTGATGTTGGTAGTACTGTCATTGACATCTGTGTTAAATTTCATGACAATAACTGCGTTTATCCTATAGTTACGAACGACACAAAGTTAATTCAGGGATTTTTGCAATCTCCAAGTTTGTTGAGTAAAGAATTTTAATTAAAATTTTGCTTTCTAAAATTTAGGAAACTGGTAAAATATCAGTTGGAGAAAAGTTCAGAATATGATTAGACCACCCCCCAGACATGTCGCAAAAAATGAGTGTAGTGATATAAACAATTTAAAGAAGTCAAAGAACCCATTAAATAACAGGTCAATGAATTCAAAGATTGGGTGCTTAAAAGTTATGAATTGACAATTAGAGACCTCGGAGACACTATTAAGACTTCATTTAGATTAGTCTAGATCCACGTGTGCCTGAAAAGGGTTTAGTGCTAATAAACTAAAGTTTATACAATTTTTGGAAAGACGTCGTCACGATTAAGTTTAACAAACAATCGTTTTTGACTATTAGGATAACATTAAATGCCTGATTACTGTAAATGAGACTTATGTCTACGCTTACAATCATTAAACATATAAACATTTATACGACCACAGTGTAATTCGTTAACTGATTTCCTCGATTATCATGTTAAGATTTATTATCTCTCCACCGGGATAACCGTTCACAAAGAATATTAATTAATATCAATGTAAAGCTGTTCCCAAAAAAGAGACCAGAACTATCACTAAAAATTTAATACATACTCTTTCAAAACCATTGCGATTTTTGAGCTATTCGCTAAGCTTAAGAAACTGTTTTGGGGATATCATTTTGGTACTCGTTGTCTCACATAACACATAAAATAAAGCAAAATCATCTCAGCCGCTCCCGCTTATTAAAAGAATCGGTTAAGATAACTGAGGTTAGTTCCATAGGCTGTTCTACATATAATTACCCACAAACTACATGATAACAAATAGTTTATGAGGTTATCAAAGGTCATATTTTTATAAATATATGCTGTTGGTACTCTATTTTGTGTTCCTTATGGCTTATGCCATAAACCATTTTTTATATATGTAGCCGACAATGCTAAGTACTAGTAAGAAGCGACCATCCTGGCAGGTGTCAGTAAGTTAAAAAGTGTCAGTTTGCTACAGAATGGTTGGAACTAGTTTCTTTGGCGGAGTGTAGAAGAAACCGGCGGATATAAGGAACTCTAAAGCCGACGCAACTTTTTTATCTTAATTTGTAATACTTTTGAATCAAATATAAAATGAATAAATGTTATATCATATATATATATTAGAATAAATTATTTAGTTTTTATATAACCCAAATTCATATTATACTCTTGAAGTAAATTGCAATTAAATGTTTAATTAATGTACACTTACGATGTGTACATGTGCATAAAATCAAATATAACAAATTAACAGTAATTAAATTATTAAATATTATTTATGAAATTAAAATCATTAGATTCGTCCATACTTACAACGGAAGTGACAATTAAGGCCAAAACAATAATAATAACCAGCATAGCAATGAGTATGCCACGCCAATTGCGTTGATTTGGATTGCTGGATACCAACTGAAAATAGGAAAAGTATTTGATAAATGGGGTTTAGAGTGGTAAATTAAAGTATATTTATATGTATTGAATATCTATATATATATATGTATATATATCCAAACTTCATAAGTGGCACAAAATGCACGTACAAAACGTTTATGGGAAGAGAGCACAGTGAGTCAGTGGTAGTAATAAACTATTTTCAATCAAAAATAATATTTTCTATAATACCACAGTCATTAATATTTTATGTATTTAATATATACAATAATTTATTTTGAGTAAAGAATTGAGCTTAAAACAATAATACATAAAGCAGTACACTGATTTTCACGAATTTTTTTATATTAGAAAGTTGGCAAGGATTTTAGTTATAAAAATTGACTGTTATTATGTACAGTCATTGAATATAAATATACAGAATTATCTATTTTGTGGTGAACTTAAGCAAAACATAAAACATTGATATTCTTATCTTTATTTTACTAATTGTATTCACAATATAACATCATTTAAATGAATTCCATAGGACATCTTAGTACTGGATTCTTTTAAATTAATTTTATATGTCTTGGCTCGTTATACGTTTTCAAATTGCCGAGAGCTTAAGGATCCGCTGCATATACCTTGTGAAGTTTGCATAACCGATACCAAACAAAATCATTCCAGTATATGTTATTTTGCTAAGACTCTTATTATACCCAGTATATACCTGCGTGTCCTTTCGGAATAATACACATTATCTTTAATCTGAAGTACTTGCTTTGTCTTCAGTTGGTTTAGTTATTCGCTACAAATTTATTTAGAAAATTTCATCATTTTCAATTTAGAAATTCACAAAACATTTTTGTAATTAGATGAGTTCCTAGCCTTGGTTTCATAAGCTGATCACTCATACTGACAGCTAACTTTTTCAATTGATTTCGTCTACTTATAATACCCTTAATGTGTTAAGGAATTAAAGTAATTAAATTGATAGAAATATTTAGTAGTGGAGGAAGATCCTTTCCTTATTTAAATATTCTATGTATCTATTCAATATTCTTATCTAATTCAAAAATATTATTTCGATATCCATACAATGTTGCACCTTCAATATTTCATCATTATTAATTATTGTAATCGAAACAATGTTTAGACTGAATCCGCTTAACTATTAGTAGGACCAGTAGAAGGGAGTTTATATGGAATAGAAAGATGTTACTTAAAATCCCAGTTTTGAGAGATAACATTTAATAATGTGTGGGTTCTTCAAGCGTACGTAATAGAATATTATGATTAAAAATGTTTATTGACTTGATTAATAATTGGGAAGATCGATTAGTAAATTGATTATCAATCTACCTTTTTCTTATTAAAAGCTTTTAAATCTCTAACTAATAAAACTGAAGAGACGTTTTCAAAAAGAGATTGCATGTATGAAAGAAAACTGGTCGTACTGCATGCTAAGGAAAGTCTAAGCTTTTAGTCACTAATCTCTTATATAATTGATACAGGTTAAAAAAAAAAATTTTAATTCTTTACTATAACCTAGTATTTCTATAGACTAATTTTTTTTAAATTATGCGTTTCATACAATGCTTTAGAAATATGTTTGGGCTTAAGAGAGTATCAATTCGTGATATGGTATTTGATATTTTGGCATGGCATTATAGTATTTATAATATTAGGATTAAAAATGTGGCGTTTATAAGGAGGTCTATAGGTCTATATAGTTATTACATTCAATTTCTTGATCAAACGGTTTTTGCCTTTAAGAGCGTGATGGTTGCAGTCTACGCATCTAGGAAGAGCCTTACAATTTATAGTTGCATGATATTGAATCATTCCTTTTTTAGGTTTTTGGGTTTTCCTATATTTAACTTTTAGGTAGCAGATGGTTGAGATACATAGAAATAATTTTTCTCTTCTTCAGACAGTTGAACCTTGGTTAAACTTGAGAGCTATGAGATAGCATTATTTTTAAGTAATGACATCGTAAGGAGTGATAGCTCTGTGTAACTACAAATAGCAAAGCTCAATAACTAATAGATTGTTCAAACAAATATTAGAGTCGGTAACTGTGTATAAGTCAATTCGTCTATTGACAATATCTTTAAAATATTTATGTACATTTAATTACTACGAATATATTTTCAAAGGGAGCTTAAATGGCTTAAAGTTCAGACATCTGCAGTATCTAATGGAAAATCGCAAATAGTAATTGTTAATAAAACTCTGCAGTATTCAGGTGTTTTCCAAAAACGGTCAGGACATACGGAATATTGTAATTAGGTAATACAGGTGAATTTATCTAAACACGGATACCAGATAATATTTATTATGTTACAATCAATCAAAATAATGGTGATAGCAGGGTTCCACAAATTACACAAGAAATTCGTAGGAAAGGTGCATCACCATTTGAGGACTTTCGAAATCGTCCTGATCATTTAAAATACCATCCATAGCTTTCTACTGCTTAAGCGAATATGAGTAATGTATTACCTTGATGATAGCTGATATATAGAGAATAACCTTACATTTGTATTTTAAAAGGATGACGTAAGTATTTTTAACATAAGAGGTAACATGATTGAGATACCCAAAACTGGTACAAAAAACGTAAAACTTATTTACTCTATTAGCATTTGCTAGTCATATTAGTTATTCGAGTTGTACTTCATTTCATCAAAAATTGAAAATAAATTGAAAAGTTAAGTTAAAAACTAGAATTTTTTTTGCAATTGCGTAAGTGATGTGTAAATAAGTTGTTTGTAACTTTGAGTAAAAATTATTTAAAATTCAGAAAAATAAAAGTGAATTTATTCTCTTACATCCATTTGCCAGCATCCTTTTTATTGATTTTTATATTACGAAATACTGGACAACTCACAGTCAGAATGGATGCCCCACAGTCAGAATGGATGCCCCACAGTCAGAATGGATACTTAATCTGCTGTCGACGAAATTTTGCCAGTAAATGATTTTGATGGTAAAAAATACATTCGAAATTCTTCTTTCAATACTTGTGACTTCTCTTTATATCACCGACAATTCATATAATTTTAAAAGAACCGTAAAATATCAATAAAAACTGAACATAATTTCCTCAAAGCAAACATACATGCAAAACCCTTAAAGGAAAAGAAAAATTATTGGTAGGCTGTGAAAGGATATAAATTTCTTTAAAAAAACAAGCAATAAATATAAAGTTTAATGAAGAGGAAGGAGGAACTTTCTTTTAATATTGTTAACTGAGTCTGGTATTAAAGTAAACATTTCGTGTGAAATTGAAAAATATTTAAAGAGAAGCATTTTCTCGATGTCAAACAACTATTCGAAAATAAGATAGAGGGCGGATATGTTAGTTGCAGTTACACAAGATATTCATTTCAAAAACAAAGATATTTTACAAATGCTAAATAATAGATTCCTTGGCAGAAGCCATAGACACATATATATTATAATTTTAAATTTATAAATCTCAAAGTTAAATATAAACAACTTCGTTCCTCCCCTTAATATTTTATGAAACTAAGTTTTAGAGTACAGGAAAAATGTTTTGTTCTGTAAAGGATTGATTAGAATTCTTTGTGTAACTGTCAAAAATATTTTTACAAAAATATTTACATTTACATTCCACATGTTAATGTTTCAAATACACAGTTTTCACACTTCTCTCTTAAATAAAGAAAAATGTATTAGTGAAGTTAAAAAGTCTATAACGTACTGAAGGAACCTAAGTTTCCTAAGCATTTTCTTTAAGTGAAATCAAACTTTTTCAAGAGTTCTACATTTAAATCAACACTTCTATAACATTTCGTAGAATATTTTGTAGAATACTTTATCTTTAGCACCAAAATCGACTTTAATTTTGGCAATCTTTATTACAGTTGATTTTTGATTTACAAATCCGTAAATGGATTATAGTTATCAGATCCAGCTATACGCTGATGGCTAAAGAAGCAATTGAGAGTGTAATTTGTGCAAAGTCACATCATGCATTAAGGCATTGTTTTGATTGAACTGTCCCATTTCTCTTTTATTCGGTTTCATTTTTCCAAAATACTCGATTTTAAAAACAATCTAACACAGCATAATATTTGCTCTTAACTATTCCTTTCTTTTTTAGGTAATCACATTTTGTAAGTATCGTTGAATATGAAATTAGAGATTGTGTGTAGTGAATAACTACTGCACTCAAATTTTCAAACTATATGTTTTAACAATGGTACTAATGGATTACTAGGATTCGTCAAGAAAAGCACATTAATTTTTGCTTTCTAAACACAATTTTTTTTTTCAATATTCTTTTAGAATGTTTAATTGACAACAGCACTTTCCATAGTGTTCCTTCAAGCATAGGCTATATACACAAATCAAAAAACAAATTGATTCTGAAAGTAACATTACGATCATAACAAAAGATTTCGATGACACCAAGAAAAATAATTATATATATGAACTAAGGAGCAGTAATGGACTAGTGGTTGTCAACAAAGGTATTGTATCAGACTTAGATCCCGCTGGAATTATAAGTGCTGATGAGGAAAATAAACGAAAAAAACCAACAATCTACATTTAAGGTCAAACTCTTCCTTATATTTACTAGGGTAAAAGAAATTAAAACTTTTATTTTTATAATCTATAGTATTTACTTCATTACAGAATTAGCTTTAAGGAATCAAACTGCCAAGAACAAGATCATGTGAGGATGTATTGCACCTTACGAGCAGTATAAGGCGAATGTGATAAAAAGGCATATAAAAAATGCTTACCCAGAAAAGCAAGTGTCATATACATGAGGAAATGAAGCACATATCAGCTCCTTTAAAAAAAAGCTTCATAGAAGTCAATAAAACACACTTCCGCCTATTTGCTTACAGTGCCCCAACTCTTGTCTTTTAAGCGTTTCACACTTGATGAATAATAAGCCCCTCAAGCACAAAAAATTGGTTTGAAGATAATTGTTTCCACAGAGTTTAATGCGGTTTATGTCTGTTATGCAAGGTAATTTTAAGGAGATAATAAAATAATAAAATAATCAAATAATGCATATACTTATGTGACTAAGGTTTACATGAAATTCAAATCAATCGGCTTAAACTAATACAAACTATATCTTATAAATCTTACGACTTGAGATATATTGAAAATCTGTTCATTGTTATTTTTTCTACCAAACGATTCACCCTGGAGGGAAAATATATGGCAATGAAGCTTCATGACACACACTCATATAGCTTAAAACTTAGAGGAACTATTTAAGCCTTATTTGCAGTTTACTATTCCCCACCTTTCACACCCACTAAAACTTAATGTATAAATTTCATCGTGACTACAAGTTTATTGGGGTAATAGCTTTACAACTCGGAAAGCAAATAGCACTACAAAATCATTTTTAATATTATCCCCTGTCCACAAATCTGCAAAGCAACTCTTTCTGAGTACATTCAATACGAATTGTGTCTTATTTTCTGGTTATTGTTCTCACTTGAAAGTTTTAAATAATATGAATCTTCTTTCAGATTTACTATTCCCATAACAAGCATACTCAGAAAAAAAAGTACTTCACATGTGTTCACAAATTATAAGATAAAGAACAAGACTCATATTAAGAACGTAGTCTCAGTTTTGAACTAAAAATTTTCAATCCTAAAGATAGTAAGAGTGTGCAACTAATTTCTCATTCATTAAATTTTATAATTAGTTTATAATTACTTAATTTTAGAAGAACGAATGCATAAGAATTAACCGCATATATACAGGTTCCTCGCAATAAAAATTCTTCCTACGGTTGACCAAACAGTATATAAGACAGTATTAATTAGAAAAACTAATTTTAGATAAAATAAATATATTCAGAATCTATGCCTAAATAGTTGACAACATTTATGTTTATGGAATATTAGCAAGAGTACTAATTCCTCCTCCATAGAATCTAAGTCCATAACAAGAAATTTGCATGGCAATTGGTTGTGATGAGATATAGAAAAATATAATGTATTTCTGCTATATACTTAAAAGAAATATTCTTATAAAAAACACAGTCCATTAAAATATAATCCGTAGCTAATAAAGTCGTTTCAAACGTCAACAACCACTTTGACTGCAAAAAGACAAGATAAAAAATCTATCCAAAATAAAATAAACGCACTCTTTCTCGTGATAAATTTTCTGATGAATCTAAACTTTTAAGTTCTAACAAAATTTTGGTTATTAATCGCGTGAATGGAATATATCTTTTATTATAATGACATTTAAATCAGATATTAATCTATCTTTTTCATATTGACAAGAAGCTTTATATCTGTGTTTGTAAACTCTTTAAAAATTTAGAATTTTATGTCGAAAAAGAAATATTATTCAATATGAAACGGAGTTTTCAATATGGCTACTTGAAATGATTGAACTTTAACATAATATGTCAATGTAGACATATAATAGGGAGTAGCTTCCAGCCATATTACCAAATAACATTCGTGTCGTCCACTCAGATAGTAGGAGGTTCTTAGGCATGCACCTAGGTTACATACCTTGGCGTGACCACATTCAAGCTAAAGAACTGCAATTAAGCTTCAAGGTTATAAGTCATTAGTCGCCTATGGCTACAGTACAAATAATAATATATATGGAGTTATGGTATCCAGCTATTTGGTACGGCAAGTGTATCACATATTGGCGCCAAATCGTGCATTAAAATCGCAAGTTTCCACCAAGGTCCACAAATTAAGTAAAACTGAGTTTAAACATATTATATTATATTATATATTAATATAATATATAATTTCATATTCTTAAAGCATTATCAAACGTGTTATCTTTAATTAATCATATGTCCCAATATAACGTATTTGAAGTGAATTAAATAAGCCTCGTATAAGATGTACTTATTCCATTTTATGTTGTTCAGTCGTAAACGTTAGAATATAAAATAAGAGAATATGTTATATGTAAAAGGTTATAATAAAATACACAACATATTTTAAAGTAAGGCAAACATCTCTTGATATCTCTTGATGATCGCTCTTTCATCTCTTGATGTTTGAAGGAATTCTACAAATATTTGAAACGAACTGCATTCACGATGATTTCTCTAAGGTATCTTTCACTTTATTAAAAACTGTTTTTGAGTTATTAATAGAGTGTTATTATTTTACATTTTGTATATCCAAATTTTACATATTTTTGGACTCTCACGTCATCTTATTTTGTAGAGCTATCTTGTTTATTTATGTTATATTAAAATTCTATATCTATTTCAAACTAAATAAGTACATTGAATGCTTCTTATAAGTATTTTAATGTGACGGAATTAAAAATGCCTTTATGAAGTGTATTTCTAGTTACCAGTAGCACTATTTCTGTAAAATATTCAACTAATTGTTAATTGTATATGGGTCATTCTTTTACAAACCGGACGGATTTTGGCAAAAAATGACCTCATCACCTCCGATTTGGCTGAA